CGATGCAAAGTTAACCTTTGAAACCACATGTTAAGAAATTTTTTCCTCAGTTGTGCAGTGGTTTTACTGTGTTATGTTTTTAGCACTTGAAAGAACCAACAGATGGCAGCACAAAACAGCCTTTTTTTCTGTATTGTTTTAGATATGCTTAAACTTTGAACAAACAAAGAGAAAAAATTTCAATTTTTCTCGCTAACTCCGTAAAAATTGCATCTAGTTACCCAAGTATTACTTATGAACTTTTATTTACATACTTTTATTTGTAAAAACACTAATATCAAGAGAAATCAGTAATAAATTTTACATTTTTTTAATAATACAACATGTGGTTTTCTACTGAAACCTCTTAGAGCTAAAATGTCCCTGGGTATTTTCTGTTTGCTGAAGTGTAATATGATCTTAGGGCTAAAATATTCCTATGTATTTTCTGATTGCTAAGGTGTTATATGATCTTAGAGCTAAAACTTTCATATGTATTTTCTGATTTTTAGTGTGTAATGTGATCTCTGTGTTATGCAAGAGGAGGAGTGTATTCTAAGTTTGGGGAGAAGGTATTGCCCTTTCCTTTCAGGGAAGAAAAATTAAATAAAAGATTGAATAGGAACTTTTCATTCCTTTAGCCTCTTTTTCTAAAGATAGCTGTGTCTTTTTGCTTTGTACCAGTATGTAATTATCAGAAAGGCATCACATGCTTTCAAAAGCTTCGTAATTTGTAAAGCTGTGTGAATAATAACATATATTTTAGATAACTTTAATATACTATTTTTGATGAAAATACGAAGATTTAATGTTATAAATTTCACATTTTTTGCATTTTCTTCATATATTTATACATTTAGAATAGCATCCTCTCCTGAAAAAAGACCAGAATAAATAGTATTATTTGACTATATTTTTAAATTATGAAGTTAATTTTCAGAAATTATATTTTTATTAGTATTTGACCAGAAACCATAAATAATTATACTTATATGTATTATTTTGCTGTAAAAATCAATGCCCAAAATGTTTGCAGATTTACCTAAACCACCACCCACCTCCCTTCCAACGTGTGCAAAATTGCTTTTTCGATACATTTCGCATTTAGAAAGCTCAAAGGTACTAGTTATCAATTAATTTCACTAAAAGCTGAAAAATTTTCAATGTGCCTCTCAAAGGGTTAAACCATAAAATTCAATTCAACATCAGTATCACAAAATATTTAAAAGAGCATATCTTTAGAATTTTGGATACATGATCTTGTGCACTGGAGATAATTTTTTTTCCCGTACAGTGTTGCCATTACTTGCTTTGAAATTGTTGAGTTTCTTGATAAAAAACTCATAAATGCTTTACAAAATATGAAATAGATAATAAAACAAATCCCAAATTTTGGCTTCCAGATACCCATATTCGAGTGGAGACATACGTTATTCAAAACATGATGGCTGTAGGTACCGCTGCTTTATCACAATGCGAGAAACATGCATACATTTATGCAGATTCTTCATTATTTAATTTCTTTAAATATAATACAGGGCTCTAATATTTTGTGGCAACAATTTAAAAAGTGATTCATCATTTATAGTGAATCAAAGCAAAATGCTAAAATGAAATTAATAACCCTACTGGGCAAATTTCCCCTTTAGACTAAAAACTTGCTGTGTGTACCAACTCCAGTATCCTTGTCTATTATTGAACAGTCTGAATAAATGTGAATCCGCTGATCTTTCAGAAAATGCTATAAAAATCGTACGGTTCAAAGGCTATGAAAAGTTATTATGATAGCTATTAATTTTTTAATGATGCACAGTCAGAAAGATTTATCGCAAGTATTTTACTACTTTTAGTATAGAAAAGGAAACTTTAAGGGCTGTTACAAATTAAGATTTGAATTTTATCTCGTATATTTATGAAGTTTCACATGTATCTTAATTGCAGTATGATTCTAAGAAAAAGTACTAAGTACCCTTTATTGAAAATGTTAAAGATTATGTACTGAATATCTATTTAACAAAATATAGCTTAAACACAAGAAATTTTCTGATATAACCTAATTCAAGGGGCCAAAGTTTGATATATTTTATGCGATTTGATAAAAATCAGTTATCTAACAGAAAAGTGTAAAAAATTTACTTGTAAATCTCCTTCGCGCTCACTTTTATTTTCAATCTCTTTCTCTCTCACTCATACACATACTGACTGACTGATTAGCATTATCTACCAAAAAAAGTGAATAAGAACTGTAAAAATCCTATTAAGAGTTGATTACAAATATTATGTGCAATTATTGAATTTATTTTTCATTCTTTTTCTATTTCATAATAGGTTAATAATTTTACAGGATGAATTATTTAGCCTAAAAAATCAAGGTTTGGACCCTTTCCTTGAAATACACATCTGTATCTAAAATACATTTTTAGTTTTGAATAATGATTTCATTCATTAAAAATATTAAACCATTAAAACTGAATAATAAAATATAAATGAATTTACTTTTAGCTTTTATTTATCATCTGAGTGCAAAGATAATGAAATTTTCTGCTGGTGTGATACAGATTTCAGAAAAATTTTAACCATAATTATGTCCAAAAATTGAAGACTCCATCATGTTTGGTTCTTCAGCTTTTATGAAGTCTTATTAGTAATATGCATCACACCTTTAGCATCCATTGTGTTAGGGAGTTTACTTTCTGTGAGCTGCATTTCATCCATTTTTTATCAGCTTTGTAAGAATCTTAGTATTTTTCTTTTTAATTTCTGTCATAATATTTTTATCAGTTGCATCTTTGTATGTAACAACGCTGCCATGACATGTTTGAAAAGCTCTATGTCACATTGTCGAATTGAAATACAGTTTCTTCTACTCACTTAAAATTAAGCAAATCTTTTTATATTGTATTTTTCAATGTGTTTTGCCAGACTAGAGTGATAGAAACAATATCAGATGGTTAATTCTGTAGCATGTCACCAGAATTTTGCTAGTGCTAACATTATGTCAAGAAACAAAACATTATAATCTGTATTTTACCGTTTTTATCCAAAATGCTTTAAACAGGTTAGTTTCTCTAATTATACTTCAAGTTTCTGATCATGTATTGGTCCATAGGTTGCAGGATTGAAACTGTAGTTGAAGGCAAGAAAACAGTTTTGATTCATTTTAAGTTTTCAGTATCCTTTCAGTATCTAATTTGCAGTATAGATGCCTATCAAAGATAAAATCCCCCTTTTTGGCTGAAAGTTCTTTCAGTTTCATAGCATTTCTTGCAGTAGTTCTGATACCAACTCTGCTGGTTTTTTATTTTTTTATTATTTTTTGACTCATCAGTTGGTAGTCACCAAATCCCTTGGTTTATAATTTTCAGCCTTTACTAAGGAAACTATTTCCCAACAGTAAATGAAATTTATTTGAAACTTAAATTGTGCAAGTTCTATTCCCCATCCATAGAGATTTTTAGCATAATTTTTCTCTTTAAGTTTTATTTGATCTGAATTATCTTAATCTACTCTAGACATTTGTAGAACTTTTTCTGACAAGTCAAGCAATATTTTATTTAATTCTGCTTTACATCAATATGGGTATGGAACTAAGTTTATCTCCAAAATAGTATGTACATTAATTAGTAAATGTTATTTTCATCATATTAAAATTACTTTGATAAGTAAAAGCTTTACTTCCATATTCAGGATTTTCTCAGTTAAAAGTGTAAGAAAGTTAACAAAATGAAATTAACTAAAGAACATATAATTTAAAATAAAATAGCAAAATTAATTTTACTTCAAAATCATGTTATCTGTGGGGGGGGAACTGGAAATTGGATGGATATTATACACTGACTACCAATAAGTATTTGGACACCTATGCAAGTGACGATATCTGCGGTCCTAAGGTACGTCACGGACTCCGCCGGTATATATCGTGTAGGAAACAGCATCGGCTTTAGTCGCATGCAAGATGCCTCGCAGTTCAGAGCTCTCTGATTTCGAGAAAGGTATAATTATCGGGTATCACAAATGTGGCCGATCTTTAAGGGACATATCTAGCGATCTGAAGGACCCAAAATCGACAGTGGCCTATGTGATTAAGAAGTGGAAGGTGAGCGGTGATTGTCGGAATGTGCCCCGAGTCGGCAGACCAGCGAAACTGGGAGATAGAGACCGACGAGTGCTGTCCAGAGAAATTCGGAAGAACCGCACCCAACCGATGGCCCTCATCCGCGAGGAGTTTCAACAAGCATCTGTAAGGAAGCACATCGGCGGAGGGAGAATTATGGTCTGGGGGTGTTTCTCCTGGTGTGGGCTGGGACCCTTGGTCCCCATTCATGGTAAGCTCAACTCCGATGCCTACTGCACTATTTTGGATGACAATGTGCTTCCTACGTTGTGGTAGTTTTACGGGTTGGACCCCTGTTACTTTCAGGACGACAATGCCAGTTGTCATGTTTCGACGTTAACCAAGGCTTGGTATGGTGCCAATGGAGTTCATCGAATGGACCTGGCCTGCCCAGAGTCCAGACCTGAAACCCTATCGAGAACCTCTGGGACGAGTTGCATAGCCGAATTCAGGGGTGCACTACCCGTGCAAAATCGGTGAAGGAACTTCTATGTCTTCTCCAAGCCGAGTGGAAGAAAATACCACTAGCTGTCATACAAAGACTTGTGGAAAGTATGCCCCGGAGGGTCCACGCTGTAGTTGCCTCTCGTGGAGGCTCTACCAACTATTGATTTTGAATTTTTTCTTTTCTATCACAGGTGTCCAAATACTTATTCGTAGTCAGTGTAATATTAATTTGACAAATGTGAGTTTATAATGAACCCAGGTGTTGTAGTGGAGTTTGACTGTTTATATGATATTTTAAATGGAAAATTTTTAATTTTCAAAGTGCTAGATAAAAGGAAGAAATGAAACTTTTTAATAATTAAAATTGATCATTGATACTTCTGATTTATTAAACATGCATTTAAATGTATGTCTGTTTCAATAACGTCTTGAAAATTGAATTATTTTATTATTAATTTAGGACTTGCATTTAGTGTCCGCAAAGGAGTGCCATGTCCACACCAAGGTGTAAAATTTTTCTCTATATAAATTTAATTCTGTGGACTAAGCCATGTGTGTATCTGTTTCTATATGTTTGCTTATATATATATAGATACACATTTAAAAATATTTCTGATGATACTTTTAAGTACATGAATATGCATTTTGAAATATGTCCGGAGAATTAAAGGAAATGCATATATTCTAAGAAAGTCAAGTTATAAAGTGGGATGGTCATTTTGGAACTATTTAGAATCAAGAAAAATATCATTTACTAATGGCCTTTTTTAAAAAAAAAAAAAAAAAAAAAAAAAAAAAAAAAACTTTAGAGTTTTCAAGTGCTTGGCCGCTTGAAGAATTAGATGGGAATATTCAGTGATTTTTACATTTTGCAGATAACGACAACCGACCAGAAAACAATAGGCTGTGCAAAAATTCGACACATGTTTGAAAGTATAAATGCCAGATTTTCTACATATTTTTCACCATTTCAAAAAATATCTATTGATGAGTCTCATGCTGTTCAAGGGCAGGTTATCATTCAAATAATATATCCCTTCAAAACAGCATCGATTTGGACTAAAACTGTTTTCGCTGTGTAATTCTGAAACTGGAATTATTTTGAAAATTTTGGTTTACATTGGTTTCATCAGAGATAGAAGATGAAACACTTTGTGTTGTGGGCACTTTAGTGAAAAAGCTTGTATAAAATTATTGGGAAAAAAACCACCTCCTATATACTGATAATTGCTACACCAACCCAAAGTTGGCAGCCTATTTAGTTGAAAATAGTGTTGGTTTATGTGGTACAGTCAAGGGAAACCGAAAGCATTTTCCAGAATTTACAGCACTTAGATACAGTCAAATAAGGCTGAAGAAAATGTGCAAAATTTTCGTTCTAAAGTGGAAAGATAAAAAGACTGTGCATTTTATTTCCACATTTCACAAAGGAACATTGGTGTTTAGTGGAATAGTGAATTGAATCCAGGAAAGGATTATGAAACCAGACTGTGTATTGAAGTACACCACAAATAGAGACTTATAGACAAGGTTGACATGCAGCTATCTTTTTTTTGTAGAGAGTGTTCGTAAAAGGGTGAAGTGATATAAATTTTTTTTTTCACCTGTTAAACATTTCTATTTTGAATTCATGTAATATATTTCTGGTAAAAACAGGAAATATCACTTGTCATTGAAATAATTTATTAGAAACATTATACAACAAATTTTGTCAAAACACAGAACCCTTACTCCAGTTTGATCTGGTAGATGAAGAGTGGAGAATTGCTCGGCCGATTAGCCACCAGTAATTTCATCGTGAGACATTTTTTAGATGCTTTTTTTTTTCGTCCACTGCTGTGAGAAGAAAAGGGTCAAAGAATATGCCATGTATGTAGTAACACCACCAGAGCTGAAAGAAAACGCAAATTGATATTAGCCATTTTTGTCATTTCTAGTTTATAAGAACATTTTTTAGTCAAAGTTTATATGCTAGCAGTGTAACTTTGTAAGTATGTTTATAGATTATAGTTTAGGCAAATATCTATAAATTGTTGTTATATTGTTTAGGAATGTATGTTATCTTTTTCTTTTTTTATCATGCTTCCAACCTCTCTGAAGCTAAATATAATATCACTGAAAAAGTGTTGAAAAATCTTAATTTTTGCATTTGGCAGTGTAGTCGCATATAATTTTACCCATAAATAAAGGGTTAAAACTTAAAATTCTTATAAATCATTATTTATATAGACCATTTTAACAAATATTTTTTCAAATAAAAAATTTTAACAGCGACCAATAAGTCTTCTTATAAAAGTATGTGTGAGTATAAAGTGTTAAATATAAAATGTTTAAAAAATAATTCTAATTTAAAGTTAATTACTTAATAACTTTAAAAAAGTTAGTTTTTATTCTCATATTAGTTTTACAGTTATGTTAAATACAAGTTATGTTTAATAATAATGCATTCTACATACACTTCTGTTTCATTCTTAGAATGGTATTTCAAAAGTAAAATTGATTGCTCAGATAATTACTTTAGTTTATTAAATCTCCATTTGCTGTTAGGTCCTTAATTTTTTTCATTGATGATCCTGAAAAATACCTAATTTCTGAACAGAAATGCATAGGAACCCTGAAATGCAGATTGCCCCTATGCTTTTGATTGTCTTTATTTCATTCAGTAACCTTCTCGCGCTACATAACTCTGTTTTGTTACCATTGTTTAAGACTAGATTCATTAGAACTAAACTAACTCTAAGAAACCCAACAATTTACTTTGGAGAAGCACTTTCAGCAATTCAGCTATTGCTTTCTTGATCTGGATTTAAATGAAATACATTTTTGTTATATAGCCCACCAATGCTGAGTCATAAAACCTTTATCTCTCTTTTTTTTTTAAAACATTAGCTTCGTGTTCCTTGATGTGAAATTTTAAATTTTATTTTATTTGTCCAGTGTTATATCAAATCACATTAACAAGGAGTGCTATAAATTTTCCAAGAATTCATGTCAGAAATAGGGTCCTTAAGTCAGAATTACTTATTTTATTGACAGATTTTATTTTATTTATTATTAGAATTATTTTATTATGATTGGAGTAAAAGAATGCTTTTTTTAAATAAGATGAGAAAAAATATTTAAATATTATGCCAATAATCTAAGACAGTAAGCTTCTGTGAATTGTTCCATTCCAAACAAATAGCTTACAGATAGTTTAATTCTTTATCATGGGCTGACTTAAATGAGCTAACCTTTAGTGTGCAGAAAAGAAAAGGGTAGAAAGAGGCTAACTTTTTTATTAGAATGACAGAATCTGGCAAGGGCTAGAATACAAACTAAAAATTTCTGATGTGTAGTAGTATCAAAATTAAAATTGTTTCATATGGCCATGAAAGGAAAGGAAAATGAATATTTCAAATGCATAAACTACCTGGATAGCAGAATCTATAAAATTCATAACTGAGAGAACCTGAAGTAAATCATCTTTATTGCCATCAAAGAGAGCAAATGTGTCATTGACATAACAAATCCGAAAGAAATATTTTAGTTTTTTAAAAATTTTTTATTCAAAAAATACATTTTGATATCTACGAGAATAGAAGTGGGAGGACTGTTCATGTCTATTCCTTTAGTCTATAACAGTACTTGTTTTGGTAGACAAAATGTTTTTGATTGAGATAAGGTCAGGTAAAAGGCATTAGTTCTTCAACTTCTGGGTGTGAAAAATGAAGTTCTTCAGATAAATTTCTAGACAAATTATAACACTTTGTAAGGATCTTAAGTTTTACTAACGTTTATTTTATTTTAAATCTTTACTATCACTTCTTATTTTCTACTTCCGGCCAGAATTATAAGCGTTTAAGGTTTTTATGCAAAGTTTGTCTGGCGAACGCCAAGTATTTAAGTTGTGGCCTTTTTGCCAAGCGAGAGAGAGGAAGCAGTGAGTCGAAGCAGGCCGCTTACCTTAGAAGTTACGCAGTTGCTGTTTGCCTTCCAGGCCAGAGGTTTTAATCCTCTTGATAAATTTAAACGTATTGTAGTGTTCACAGTCTCTGTGCTACATACGCTTCCTGTTATTATAAGGCCAATCTTCCACGTTATTATTCTAAATTAGAGTTTAGTTTTATTTTTATACTTTTACGTTAGACCCCGAGTGGAGGGTCATTGTATTCCGAAGTACGGAAGTTATTGTATATAGAGAAAAAATAAAGGGTTTTGTATACCCTTCGTCTGTATCCTGTCTACTTACTACAATTAGTGAACATAGCTTTAGTAAGCTCTCTGTTCCGAGTCAGGTCCTTGTATGTTCCCGAAGAAGGTTAGAAGGAACATTGAACCTGATAGTGGCGCCCAACGAAGAAGAATAACCATGGCCGAGTTTCAAGAAGAACCTGTGCTGCTGCCTGCAGAAACGGCTCAGAATCCAGAAATGCCAGCTGCCGCCCTGGAAGGATTTGGTTACATCGTCCAGACCATGCGCGCTTCGATGAAAACCAGAAGCAACGTTTAACGGGAAACTCACCGGTAACCAGTTTTTTGGAAAAATTGGATGACCACTTCATGCTCTACCCCGTGCACGAGTTTCAAAAAGTTACCTTAGCTACCAGCGCTTTGAGGGGCCAAGCGCTTAACTGGTTCAAATGTATAGGCAGAAGTCTCTTGGGTCAAGCAGGAAGTCCCACCTATACTTACGAAAATTTCAAGACTGCCCTACTAAAAGCCTTCCCTGTTGTAAGGGATCGTGCGAAATTAGAAACGGAACTTTTCAGTATATATCAACAAAGAATCGAAAACCTCTCGAGCTTTATTTTAAGAAAAATTCACGTTTTCAAGCTCTTGTATGGAAACCGTCCGGATCCTGAAATAATTCAAGTGATTTTGCCGAGGTTACTACCCCAAGTGCAAGACTTTATTGAATTAAGAAATCCGACTACACTGGAAAAGTTATTTGAGCTAGCAATCCAGTTTGAAAGTAGAAGAACGGCGGACGTCGAAAGAAGACGCCAATATCAACAGCGAAACCAATTTGGTACGCCAAGACTACAGCAAACTCAAGCACACGGCTACGGAGAAAAAGCGAATCAGTGGGCAAGGAAACCCGAGCATTCAAAAACAGCCGGCGAACGTCGACAGTTCAATAGCAACCCAGGAAAAAAGTCTCAAGGCCAGGGGAAAAAGAAGGAAGGAAAGCACGGAAAGGAAAAATAATTTAAACTAAAACGGATTTCTGCTGACGAGAGGGTGCGGAAATCCGAAGGCCACGAAAAACCCCTCTTCCTACAAGTTAAATACAGTAATGGTGAAAAATTTGACTCTTCCGAAGATTGAAGTCTTGGTGAATAATATCCCGGCCACCGCACTCCTGGATACCGGCGCGCAGTGTTCCTGTGTGGCAGAAGAGTTTTTAGAAAGTATTTTCGCAAATACCGCATATATAATGCGGATAATACGACAGTGTTAGCGGCGCAAGGAGAAAAATGTAAGTGCGTAGGTAAAGTACCTTTGTATATCCGTATCAAGGACGAACAAGTAAAGGTGATGTTTTTTATAGTAAAGAATCTGCAAGCACATTTAATCTTAGGAATAGATTTCTTTCAGACGCACAAGCTACACTGGATTTTAATGAAGCGTCCCTTAAGCTGACAATGAAACCAGTGCGTGTAGAAAAGGCTGAACCGCCAAGGTTAAATCTTGACCACCTGCCTAATGACGAGCAAGATAGAATCCGACAAGTGGTAAGTGAATTTGCTTCGTTATTTAGTGATATTCCAGGATTTACTCAGGTTACTAACCATAGTATTGACACCGGAGATGCAATGCCAGTTCGTCAAAAAACCATACCGGTATGATAAGAATAAGGAAAAAATTATAGAATGGCATATTACCGATATGCTACGTAAAAAGATCATAACGCCCATCTCAAGTAGTTATGCTAGCCCGGTGGTTTTATGTAAGAAAAATAATGACTATCCTTTGGAGCATCCAAAAAGGTGGAGATTCGCTATTGATTACCGTAAATTAAATTCCATAACGAAATATCCGGTATATCCGTTACCGATTATAGAAGAAATTTTAAGGAACATAAAATCAACCAAATTTATGACGACTTTAGACTTAACGACTGGTTATTTTCAAATAGGGGTGAGGCCTGAGGACGTGCCTAAGACTGCTTTTATAACCAAGTCTGGCACTTATGCATTTTTGCGTATGCCGTTTGGCCTTTCAGGCGCCCCGGCAACATTTCAGCGATGCATGGACATTGTGTTAAGACCTGTTCTTGGAAAGTCCACATTTATCTATTTAGACGATATCATTATTACTAGTGATAATCTCGACCAACATGTACAGGATTTAAGACAGGTGTTTTCTTTATTAAATGAGGCCGGTCTAAAAGTTAATGTCGAAAAGTGCAAATTTGCAGCCCCTGAATTAAAATATTTAGGTTACAAAATATCTCAAAAAGGGATCGAGACAGATGAATCAAAAATAATCGCTGTACAAAAGTATCCGACTCCAAACACGGCAAAGAAGCTCTCTCTTCTTTTCTAGGACTTTGTTCATATTATAGGTCCTTTATAAAAGATTTTGCGGCTATCGCTGAGCCATTGTTAAAATTAAAAAGGAAAAAAAAAGCAAGATTCTCGTGGACGGCCGAAGCCAATAGTGCTTTCGAAAAATTAAAACAAGCATTAACGCAAGCCCCTGTGTTGAAATTTCCTGAAAAGGATGAAAATTTAGAAATTTCAGCGGATGCTTCGGATTATGCGGTAGGAGCGGTACTTTCGCAAAATCAGCAGCCCGTGGCATTTTTTAGCCGAACTTTAAATCAAACACAAAGAAACTATTCCGCGACCGAGAGAGAGGCACTTGCAGTTCTGTTAGCAGTGCAAAAGTTCCGAGTCTATTTTGGAAAGGCGCCGATAACAGTGTGTACTCTGATCATGCGGCGGTAACTAGATTGTACTCAGGGAAAAAATTTATCCCCAAGGTTAATAAGATGGGCACTCAAGCTGCAAGAATATAATCTGGTAATCAAGCATACCCCCGGAAAGGAAAATATCGTAGCAGATGCCCTATCAAGGATTAAAATAGACGAACAAGGTAATACCGTAAAGGTGGCAATGCTTACAGCGTGTACAATAAATTCCGAGAGAAACTGTAATAACCGAACTGGGTAAGGATCCTGAGTTTGGAAGCATTTATGAGTATTTGAAGGATCCTGAAAATTTTAGCCACCAAGATATTGTGGCGATAAGAAATAGGGCGGCCCATTACGAACTAATAGATGGTCTATTATTTTATACAAAAACTACGAATTCCAACAACGAATTTCGACCTGTTATCCCAGCTAGTCTTAGATTAAATATCCTGCAGGAGCTCCATGACAGCCCTTTAGCTTCTCATGCTGGTATTCGAAAAACCATCCAACGCGTACGCGAGGCAGTCTACTTTCCTGAACTGCAAAAGTTAACAAGGGCGTATGTCCAGTCCTGCCCAACATGTCAAGCAGTTAATTATATTAATTTCCGCCCGGCCGGGTTTCTAAATAGTATTAAATCCGAATTTCCAAATGAAATAATTGGCATCGATTTATTGGGCCCTTTCCCAAAAAGTCAGTTAAATAAAAGTCGCTATCTCCTTGTTATGGTTGATCATTTTAGTAAATGGACCGAAATTGTTCCCTTAAAACGAGCCTCCGCGAAATTAGTTACTGATTCTATTTTAAATAAATATATTTTAAAATACGGGGCGCCCCTAAAAGTTATATCGGATAATGGTCCTCAATTTGTAAGTAATATATTTGAAGACATGTGCCAAAAAACTGGGCATACGTCATTTAAAAATGGTCCCGTATCGGCCGCAATCAAATATAGCGGAACGGGTCAATAGAAATATAGTGAAAATTATCCGTAGTTATGTTAAAAATTTTCATAAAAGCTGGGATAACTATGTCAATGAATTTGCTTTCGCCCTTAGGACCGCAAAAACATGATACAACGGGCAAAACTCCTGCTGAGTTATTTCTAGGCAGAAAGATTATAACACCGTTAGATAAATTATTTTATGTGCAACAAAGAGCCCCAGAATTTAAAATGGGTGATATAGAAAAACTAATAAAAGAAGCAAAAAAAATACGGAAGTAGCACAAAGAAAAAACAGAAGCTATATTATGATTTGAAACGACGGGGAGTAACTTATAAAGTAGGGGATGAAGTTTTAAAAATTAAGCATTCACTTTCTTCAGCACCAGAAGATAAAACTGCCAAATTTTTTCCACGATTTGAAGGACCATATGTTATAGAAAAAAATAACTCACGCTGTTGTAGTGTTAAAAGCCAGAAATGAAATGGTGAAACCTGTTCCGCAAACATTGATCAAATCAAGCCCTACTTCGATCGTAATAAAATGCAAATCTTTTCAGATCTTTTGCAGGATCCGGCACGGCAGACACCGCAGGTACAAGTTCCAGAGGTGGAAAAACGACAAGTACAAGGGCAAGCCAATGAGAGACAGAAGAAGCAAGTGAAAAGAAAATTGCCCCCGCGGAAAAATTGAAGGTAACAAGAAAAAGAAGAAGCCGTTCCACCGTCCAGAAAAACAGAGTTCACGAACAACACCCCAGAATGAAGAAGGGAGAAGGACGACGTATGTGAAGAGGACCAGGAGAAATGACGGCAACTATAACCCGGCTTTAAAACGGAAGATCTACTCATCCGACAGAACTCTCCGCAGTCGCCGAACTGCGGAAGGGCCATCAGCGGCGGAGGAAAAAAGTACAAGGAAAATTTGAACGGCCAACAACGAGGTCCAAGCAGGATCACGACAGAAGTTTCCCGGTTCCGCCAAGACCAGCTGCCTTCAAACGGCCAAGACCACAAGCAGAGGAGAAAAAGGAAGGTATTCAAGGGTGGCCGAACTGGTGAAAAACGGAAGCTTCCAGAGGAAAGCACTGAAGGGCGAGCCCGTACACAAGAAGGAGGATAAATCAAGCTACTATCTGCAGTACCTTTAAAGACTGGGCCCAGAAAAGGATGTCCGAATATTACAAAGATAAGTAAAATTTTATGTTACTTTGCAAACTTAAGTTAATCTTTCATTCTTACTGCAAGTGGCAGATTTCAAGAAGTTTTACCTCATGCGAGGTCTACCTTTATCGCCAAAAGGGCGAGAAATGAGTTGTGACCGATTTTCTTATTATGTTTTCAATTACTCGCGCGTAAAACTAAAGTTGATGTATAATAGCGTTGTGTAAAGACTTAAATATTGTAAAAAGTTATTGTATAAATTTTATTTAAAACATTCTAGCAAGAAAGAAGTTTTAGTCTGAAAGACTTTTGAAATGAAATGTATTATTTCAATGTAGAAAGAATTGGCACTTGCTTTGAAAAGAATAGAAGTTAACAATGTACTACTAATGTATGTTTTCCAAATGTGTAAAATTAACGGCATGTTAATATGTTCTTATATACAATGTGAACTGTTATTTTAAATGTTAAGAAATACCGTGATATGGTAAAAGTGAAAGTAATGTAAAATGTTAAAAATTGTTTATTCGTGTGACTGTAAAGACTAAATCATGGCGAAATATGTGTTAAAGGTTGAATGATGTAGTTAGGCTCTCTGACGCTACACTTTAGAGTTAGCCACTTTTAGAATAGTACCTCAGGGTTTAGAGTTGAAATTAGGGTGTGTTAAGAGGTCTCGTTATGTTGAATTTTAACACGTTAGTGTTTTGATTGTAGGAGGAAGTGTGGAACACGTAGACAGAAACACATTCGTGTTTGGTGTTCTTTTACAACACATGTCAGAGAGCACGGGGAGAGATAATTAAAATAGTCATGAATGAAATAAGAATGTTAAGAGCAAGTATAATTGTATATGTTACTTGCCATGTCATTGTGTAACATTTCATTAAACTAGTTTTCCTTCCAGATCTCTGGAAGGAACCAGAATTGAATAAAAAGCTCCTGTTTAGATGCAGCAGTACAGATGAAAAAAAGATTGTTGTATATCCTGGGAGCTGCTATTGTAACAAATTTCTTTCTTTTAAATTTCTAGTTTCTAGCGAAGTGTGTTTGTAAAAGGTTGGCCTCGCGTTAGATTCTAGAGCTAAAAGTTTTCAACAAGGTCGTTTTAGACCTCAGTTTCAAACTAATTAACTCTGGCGGGAAGTATGTAAGGATCTTAAGTTTTACTAACGTTTATTTTATTTTAAATCTTTACTATCACTTCTTATTTTCTACTTCCGGCCAGAATTATAAGCGTGAAGGTTTTTATGCAAAGTTTGTCTGGCGAACGCCAAGTATTTAAGTTGTGGCCTTTTTGCCAAGCGAGGAGAGAGGAGGGAGCAGTAAGTCAACGCAGGCCGCTTACCTTAGAAGTTACGCAGTTGCTGTTTGCCTTCCAGGCCAGAGGTTTTAATCCTCTTGATAAATTAAACGTATTGTAGTGTTCACAGTCTCTGTGCTACATACGCTTCCCGTTATTATAAGGCCAATCTTCCACGTGTATTATTCTAAATTAGAGTTTAGTTTTATTTTTATACTTTTACGTTAGACCCCGAGTGGCGGGTCATTGTATTCCGAAGTACGGAAGTTATTGTATATAGAGCAAAAATAAAGGGTTTTGTATACCCTTAGTCTGTATCCTGTCTACTTACTACAATTAGTGAACATAGCTTTAGTAAGCTCTCTGTTCCTAGTCAGGTCCTTGTATGTTCCCGAAGAAGGTTAGAAGGAACATTGAACCTGATAACTTTATATCATAGCATTAGCAAATAAAGATTTGCCATCATACAATGTCTTTCTGTTTTTGATACTGGGTTTTCATTTAATTGCAGCTGAAGCATGGGATAGTGTTGAATCGCTTAGTTTAGTTAATGTAGTTTGCTTGCAGTTAGTTTACTTTGGAATATTATTTTTTCCCTGCTAAGTTGGGATTGATAATAAAAAAATTTGTATATGCATTTTTAGTAGGTAAAAGAAGGAAATTATCAAATCTAAGAATTTCTTAAGTAAAACGCAAGTTGCTGGTATAAAAATATCATTATGAAATTTTAGACTCCTAAACTTGCATTTTAAAATATGTGATATTTTATTTTTGCAGTTTGATAAATATCTATAAGGAGTTGTCTACAGATATACCTGACTTTCAAATGCCTTCTCATGGATACCTGTATGGCTGGGCATCTCAAGGTTTATTTTTACTTTTGTGATTTTTTATGATATGCAGTATAAAAGTGACTGAATATTTTAGATGTGTTTTTTTTTTCATTTTACAATATATAACATGAAAATGACTGAACGTTTTAGGTGTGTTACTCCTGAATGCATGCTTAACTGTCAGAGCAAGCTGTGCTAATTCTCATCAAAATAAGGGCTGGGAAAATCTGACAGATTCTGTTATTGTTTGGATCAATAATAATCTACCTCACACTGTTTTCCTACTTTGGGGAGGAAATGCCAAGCAGAAATCTGCATTGATTAAGAAAGTAAGTTCTGTCGTGAGAGGGAAACTTGCATGTTTGTAGTATGTGTTTTAATAATAATGTTCTGCATATTTTTTATAGGAGAAGCATTTAATACTGACTGCTGCACATCCATCACCTTTATCAGCTCATCGGGGATTCTTTGGGTGTCGACACTTTTCTAAAGCTAATGAGTATCTTAAACAGCACAACAGGAAGTGTATAGACTGGAATTATCTACCTTAAAGAAAATAGACATAGAAAGAATTTTTCTGAAAGTTCTTACTGTTTGTATGAAAGATTTCAACTTATCATTTTATAAGTATTTATAATCAGTGTACATTTATCCATTGTTTATAACTCCAATTTTTTTCAATAAAAGTGAAGCAAATATAAATTAAAAAGTCTCAGCCATTTAAGATGCAAAAGAAAACTCATCTTCATGCCTTATCTAGTCTGTAATGGTTTCTCAAGTTTTTAACAAACTGGAAGTTCATTTTTTAATCAAACAAAAGTTCTATTTTGACTTGTATACCATACCTTGAAAATTTTCATTGCCAGTTTGTTTCAGTACACATTGTCTGTGGCATAAAAAATTACACATAATATGCTAAAGCATATTGTGATAAAGAACTCAAGGCCACAGAATTGAAATAAATACCTGTTGATGTTTTTCATCGTGTTAAGCACAAGACTTGCATTTAACCAGTTTATGAACAAATTGTGACTTATACTGCCATTTGAAATAATGGGTGATCTCTAGATTTATAGGCTGCATCAAAACAGTCTTATTAGGGAGTAGAAAAAGTGCTGAAACATTTGCTTTAGAATGTGTATTTCTCTGATAAACATTTTATACAGTGATGATACCTTTATAACACTTTGATATTACTTTTTGAACCAGTCCATTATTTATTTTTTGTAATATTTTTATTGCTGTATACACACACACGGTCTTGGGCAAGTAATTATCATGGATTTCTGAAAAACTTGTTGCTACTGGTTAAGAGAGATTTATTATATATTAACAATACTTAATGATATTTAGAGACAAAAGCTTATAAGACAGGACGTAAGCAATATAATCCCTTTAATGCTTGACTTCTCCTTTTGGAAAATAAAATAAATATTTTTATCTATATTTTATAATGTATAAGATTAGAAAAAATTGTTTTAAAATATCACTCTTTATTTTAGAAGAAATAAACAAAAATTTATGTTGGCATCAAAAAATCATATATTACATAATGATGCCATTTTCTGGGGTGTATCAGAAATAGTACAATGTGTAACAATGATATTTCATAATCTCTGCAAGATATGAATGAGGATATTTTTTTGCATGTGAAAATTTTAAAGTAATTATTTTTATTGAAATAAAGATGTAGACCACTCTTTTCACATTTTATTTAAGTGAGTTTACTGCACCTGGGAACATTGTATCTTTGTCTGCTATTTTCAATATTAAGAAAGTTTTTTTAATATTTATTTTGATGTAATTCTTCATTAGAAGGGCATTGTGTCTTATTGAAATCTTCCTGAATTTTGCTTGCAAAGGCAATTTGCAACTTTGAGTTATCTCCCATAGCTTGAGTCTGCTGCTGGAATTTTCATTGTTTTTTTGTATTTATTACTTTTTGGTAGACAATTCATGCATTTATAAGAGATAAATAAATTAGGTGATAATCCTGGATGAGTCACTTAAATATTCTGTTTTTGTATTTTATCCCAGCAGTCAACTCTAGATTGTGGTATTTCTCCAGTGACATAAGAAGTGAATATCCCAGTTTTGTTATCTTTCCAACACACACAAGGAATATTTTTTCCCCCTCATAACTAGAAACTCTTTCTAATTTGTTCATATTATTTCCAATGGTAACTAACAGTCAGAAATTCTGTTTTCACCTAATGGTTCCCAGGGAATGAAAACCTGCTTTGCTAGGTGAGATAACAACTGGAGCGAGGTACAATTATTATCAAAATATAATCTACACTTTATATTTCATTCACTTTTTCTGCAAAACCTCATTAAACCATTTGCATTTGAACATGAATCCAATTCATTTGGCAGGAAATGCTTTCTTGTTCTGCATAAATTTCAGTCATGCAAAACCAGATAGATCACAAAGAACAAATGTTTTGTATTTCCATTAAGGGAGAAGTATTGTTTTAGAAAAATGTTTTGTTTCTGAAGCACATATTTGATAATTTAGAAACAATCTACATTCCTTTATTATGAAAGAAAAATTATTTTGATGCGAGTGGATTAGCAACCTAACCTTATGTAAGCGATCATGATCAGGGTGGTAATGAGAAAAAATGTTTGCTGAAAAAATGTTATCATTGAAATACAAAAATTTGTGATTTTTTTTTGAAAATGATTCAAGATCATTCATTAACATTTTCATTTCCAATAAGTGATAACCAATGTTAACTCAAATTTGGAACATTTACAACAGGCATTATTATATAATATTTCCTGATTTCTAACACTAAATAAATTTGCTTGTTCAACAATATATTGAACTAATTCAGTGAATACTGTAGCAGCTTCTTCTACATATAATATTATATTTGTAGTTGAGAAGTTTATTTTCTCTATATTGGCAACAAGAAAAAATGTAGATAAAAAGAAGAGTTCGACCCTAACGTCTTCCTTTATTGTTGTGCATTAAAATATGCTTAATCCATTCTGGAATTATCATTTCATTTATTAAATTATGCCATGTATTGACTGAGCATAGTATTCACAACATCTGGTGAATTTTCAGATGAATAATTTCTTTGAACCATTGAATTATACAGACGGACAGTCCTGTTTCGAATAGTCCTGGTGAAGGATTTACTGCAAACAAGGTAATCGTTAAAATCCCACTTTTTTTAGCAAAAAAGGCAGACATTTGGTTCTTCCAAGCTGAAACACAGTTCTCAATTGCTAATATTACCCAGAACCAGAATAAATTTTACTATTTTGTAGCACATTTAGAACCAAAAGTTGTAGAAAATATATAGGGTACAATCCAAAGTGAATGGAATGATCAATATGTAGCTGCTTATGCAGATACTTCTGTAATGAATTCATGATAAAATCTCCAACTTAGAAAACAAATTTCGCAACTAAATGTTCACAATCTAGAAGTAAATATTGACACTCACTCTTGCTTTAATTGAAGCAAGATTCATAGTCATTCAAGAAAAAATATAATCCAAATGGATCACACTGCTACTATCATTTTAAATTTGGTGATAAATATTACCCTAATAAATGTAAAAGCCCCTTGTAGTTGAAAAGGTGTCAGAAAAACTTTGCTCAGCAGTAGCTTCGATGGTAGGCTCTGCTGCAGATGAATCAAAAGATTTCCATAAATACCAATTATTCGTTACTGATAAAAGAACTGGCTTACATTTTCTAGTGGACAGCAGTGCTGACTTATCTATCATTCCAACAACATCAAATTGTAAAATATGTAATTCTTTTAAACTGTTTCTTGCAAGTAAAACAATAATACCCAATTTCAAAATTTTAACTCTGGATTTAGGCATGCGTCCGTTCTTCTCTTATTCTTTTGTAATCGCTTAAGTGGATCTAGCTATTTTTCATGCAGATTTTTTTAACCAAATTTAAATTACTTATTGATATGCATAACAAAAATTTAATAGATAGCGTCACAAATTTATCTGTTTGAAGTCATGTTATGGGCATAACAAGTGCAGATGGTATAAGCACAACTGTCAAAATTCTCAATTTTCAAATTTGTTATTATAATATTTGAATTTAACAATCTGTAATATTTGCAATCTAGCTTAATACAAAGCACTATATAGCTAAAGGTCTTCACCTAAAGGTATGTTTTTTTAAAAGCTCACCAGTTAGATGCAAATAAGCTAAAATTGGCCAAATAGGATTTCAAATTTGAGTTAGAAAACAGCATAATTAGACCTTAAATCTCCATGGGCCAGCCCACTTCATTTAGATTTTAAGAAGGATGGCAATTTATGAGATTGCAGGGACTACAGACGTTTAAATTCAAAAATGATTCCCGATCATTATCCTATTCCAAGAATAGACGTTTTTCACCATATATTAAAGCAAAAGAAAATATTTTGAAAAATTGACCTATTTAAAGCTTACTTTCGGATTCCAATAGCGGAAGGAGGTAAAAAGAAACAACAATAATAATGCCATTTGTGTTATATGAATTTAACGTAATGAGCTTTGGATTAAGGAATGCCCGCATCTACATTTCAATGCTTCATTGAAGTGTTTTTCGGACTGGACTTGATGGAAGATGAATATTTAGAGTATCTTAAAAGTAGCTTTATCACGATTAGAACAATATGGTCTTCATATAAATCTTGGAAAGTTGGTTACTCCGGAAGGCTTGAAACCTCTTCCCAAAAGAATGAATGTTATCTTGAATTATAGAGTACCATAAACCATTCATGAATTGCATACTTTTCTTGGTCCAGTTAATTTCTATAGGCAATATATCAAAGATGCTGCCAAAAATTAGGCAATCCTCCATGAGTATTTAAAAGGTGTCTAAAAAAGACAAGCCAAATAATGCCATGGACTGAAGAAGCAAAAGAAAAATTTGAGCAATGCAAAAAGATCTAGCAAATGCTGCATTGTTGAGTTTTCCTATCCTGAGTCGCCATTTACACCGGACTGTGCAGTTCGAAACCCTTAGCTTTCTTTTCCAAAAAGTTAACTAATACTCAAAAAAGATACATGACAGGGAACTGACTGGAATATATCTCTCAATCAAACAAATCAGGCATATCTTAGAAAGATAACATTTTACACTCACCATAAGCCTGTGATGTTTGCTTTTCATCAAAAAAAAAAAAAAAAAAAAAATGAGAAGGCCCCCACCTAAACAGATCCGTCATTTACAATATATCTCAAAGTTTTCGACACATATGTGTCACATAGGCAGAAAAGAAAATATCGTTGCAAATTCGTTATCCAGGATAGAATCTGTATCTGATATAGAGTATGATAAAATTGCAGATGCACAAATCAATAATAGAGCTACACTCGAAACCATCTTTACATTTTAAGCCACATCTGTATCATTTTTATATTAAGACACAATAACACGCTGAATAAATACTAATTCAGAAGACAAACAACAAAAATCAGCGTTATATTTACAAAATTTCCACAGGACTAGTTTCGATGGTTTTACCGAACCACCATCCTCAGCTGCAAAACCGCAAATGATCATTTGCGAATCTTCTGAATTAGTATCATTTTTATATGTTAGATAAGTGCTGAGTGGTGATTACAAGATGTACACAAACACCATTTATTCTACATTGCTACTCCACTATTCTATATTACAGTTATGATTAATAATAATAATAGATACAGTTACATATATAACATCTCGC